CTCCCCTGTGGTTTTAGTAAAAAAGAAGGACAACACCTGGCACTTTTGCGTCGACTATCGCCACCTGAATCAGATCACTAAGAAGGACGTTTATCCTCTAACCCGAATCGTTAATGCGCTCGACTGCCTCCACGGCGCCAACAATTTCTCGTCGCTTGACCTTCCATCTGGATACTGGCCAAATTCAGTCAACGACCACGACCGCGAAAAGACAGCATTCATCACACCCAAAGGCCTTTACTGATTCAAGGTCATGCCTTTTGCGTTGTGCAATGCCCCGGCTACTTTCGAACGTATGATGCACTCTCTCCTCCGCGGTTTGAACTGGTCGACCTGCCCTTGCTATCTTGACGATTTAATCGTTTTCTCGCCCTGTTTTGAAAGCCACCTGGCTCGTCTCTCACGAGTTCTTGAAGTTTTTCGTTGCGCTGGTCTTCAACTGAATTTGTCGATATGCTCATTTGGACGCCGGTAGATTAAACTACTCGGCCACCTTGTTGACGCCACTGGTGTTCAATCCGACCCTGCCAAAGTCCATCCAGTCCGAGAATTCCCGGTTCCGTGTTCCACACAAGAAGTTCGCAGTTTTATTTGGCTCTGCTCATACTTCCGCCGCTTTGTCTTCACCTTCGCAGATATATCTAGTCCCCTCACGGATCGCCTCAAAAAGAATGTGGCCTTCTCTTGGGGAAAGAACCAAGAACATTCCTTCGCGTCGTTGATTACTGCCCTCACATCACCACCTGCGTTGGCTCATTTCAATTCAGTGGCTCGAACAGAGCTTCGTACCGATGCAAGCGGCCATGGCATAGGTGCTATACTCGCTCAGATACAGACTGGCACCAACCATGTGATAGCCTACGCTAGTCGCCTTCTTTCGCAAGCGGAAACAAATTATTCCATCACTGAACGGGAATGTTTAGCCCTCGTTTGGGCCATTGCAAAATTCCGTCCGTACTTATACGAACGTCCGTTCGCAGTCATCACGGACCGTCATGTGATTTGCTGGCTGTCGACGCTTACGGACCCTACAGGAAGACTCAGCTGATGGGCACTTCGATCCCAGGAGTACACGTTCTCGGTTGTGTACAAATCTGGAAAGCTGCATAGCGATGCTGACTGCTTACCCCGCACCTCCACCAAAAGATGTTACGGGGAAGACTTATTCACTGACAGCTGGTCTTGCTAACTGCTTAAAGATTTAGCGTGCAGTCATGCAGGCCAACGGGGGAAGCTCGAGAGTCCAACCCACAACAACCTGGTTGTCGTCTTCCTTTTTTTGGGTGTTGTTTCAGTTTTGCCGGAGCCAGAGTTCCATACATGTATCAATATTCTTGGAGCAGTAGTGTTCAGCGACCAAGACTACTCAGTGACTTACAAATATGGCTGTTTACACCATGACGTTGACTGCTTCTCCGGCCATCAAGTGGACCCCCCCGAGGCTCTAGATGAAGCGCCGCCATGTGTGCTCTTACTCTGCTTTGTGCAACATTTGTGATTAACAGCGCCAAGATCCCGTCTTGCGTGACATTATTGAGAAGCTGAACTCTCCGACACCCCATCCGTCTACTCGACTGTGTGTTCTTAAAGAAGACACCTTGTACCGCTACGATGTCAACAAAAATGGGCGCAAACTGCTGCTTGTGGTGCCTTCCAATCTACGTTCAAGTGTCATCGCCCAGCTCCGTGACACCTCCACCTCTGGTCACTTTGGTTTCTTTTGAACTTACGACCACGTTCAGCATTGATTTTACTGGCCCAGGCTCTATCGCTCCGTGCGCCGCTACGTCGTCGCATGCGACGAGTGCTAACGTCGAAAAAAAAAACCCTATGAGTCTTGCCGGACTGATCCAGCCACTTCATCTTCCTTTTAACTCCTGCTTTCGAGTTGGTCTTGACCTCCTAGGCCCTTTCTCTCAGTCTACCTCCGGAAACAAACAAATAGCTGTCACTACGGATCATACAGCCCGGTACACCATCACGTGGGCTTTGCCAACCAGCTGTGCCACAGATTTTGCCGATTTTCTTCTGTACGATGTCATCCTCCATCATGGTGCTCCATGCCAACTCCTCACAGATCGTCGACGCTATTATCTCTTTCAAGTTATTGATGACCTGCTTCGCTCTTGCGAAACCAAGCATACATTTACGACAGCCTACCATCCACAAACAAATGGGCTTACCGAAAGACTGCACCAGACCTTAACTGATATGCTCTTCATGTACGTCTTCTCTGACCACGTAAACTGGGACGTTGCATTATCCTTTGTTACATTTGCATACAATTCCTCACGCCACGATATTGCTGGGTTTTCACCATTTATCTCTCATTTGGCCGCGACTCAACTCTACCTTTCGACGCCATCTTCCTGACTGCTGTCGATTCGCTTGCTGAATACACCCCTGACACTATTATTAGAGCTCGCAAAGTACGAGAAGTCGCTCGGAAGCACCTCTTAGCATCGCAAAAGCAAGAGAAGCAACGTTATGACGCACTTCATCACGACGTCTTATTTGCCCCGGGTTCTCTTGTGTTGTTTCGGACCACCACTCCGCATGTTGGTCTCTCTGAGAAACTGCTTTCCCGTTACTCAGGACACTTCCGCGTCTTGCGCCAGGTGACCAACGCTACCTACGAGATAGCCCCGCTGAAGTCATCATCTCCCTCCGCTCCACTGTCTACAACATTGTACATGTCCTCCGCCTTAAGCTCCACCACTCCTCAACACCATAGAAAGCACCAAGACGGTGCTTCTGCACCCGGGGGTTAAGTTACGAGACTACCTCAGGCTGAAGAAGCAAGACAGACAGCGAGAAAGACGACGTGATTCTGGGATGTGGGGCGTGCTATCGCTTGCCCTATCGGCCTATGCTTGGCGCCATGCGAATATATCTCAACTGTGACCTCGTTTCTCTGTGTGCCCTCCCGTAACACGATAGTCAAACACAGTAGAGCATACATCCTTGGGGCAGTAACCTAATGCAGTGCCGCCAAGTTATAAAAGCACTGAAATATTTTTGTCACTATTCCTAGCTTCTCTGCTGGGGCTTTTTAAAATATTTTTCTGGGATAAGAATAACAGTGACAGAATGAAACGAAATGTCCAATTACTTTGATTTCGCTGCACAAAATGCACTACGGGGACGCCTTGAGTTTACCCTTAGGTGATATTTTGCTGTGTAACTACACAGCACAATCTGGTATAATCAAATTGTAACTGACGTTATGCACACAACCGTTTATGCCAGCGACGTCTTAAATGCTCGGATTTTTTATAAACTCATCCAGAAAAGTTTCCCATTAAGCATTGCAAACAAACGTTTCTGAACCTTAACGCTGTCACCTACGTCGTACCTGGTAAAAATGGGATGCTTTTTGTACTCAGGGATACTGTCGCTAAAGAGTCCGCCATTTCGTTCAAATGTAAGCCACGGTGGCCTGGTACCTATATCAAATGCAGTTTTTCTACGTTTTATGGTATTAATGACGAAACCTGTCCATCTGTTTAACATTCACTGCAGCAGAGAGTGCAGTACACACTGATAGGGAGTCTGTAATTATCACTGCTGCTGCTTCAATTGAGGGCTTTTTACGTAGGACTAGAACAGTAGCCAATAATTCTGCAGTGAATACAGGGTTGTAATCTGGGAGTCCAATAAAAAATGACCAGTCAATGGAAGAAGAGAAGATGCCAACCCTAGCCTTTTCTTTTGACAAAAAATGCATCAGTCGCATATATATCGCTTATCTCAAGGTGAGCTAGATGATCTGCTAACTTGTCCTTCAATAGCCATGTGGCAATCTTTTCGGATTATGAGGAATTATATAATCAAATTATATGCTAAACATACACTCTAGCTTACCTATTGGGCTAATATAGTTTGTGAAGTGTGTAATCCCGATCAATGCGTTTCGAAGAATGAGTTCGGTTCTTGATTGAACACGTAAAATGAGCGTCTCTGGTGCAAACTGTATTGTGTGACCTATTTGTTAGCAACCATCACATGTTTGTGCACCTCAAAGAAAAACAAAGAACAAGAAAATTCAGACCCTTTTCACCAAAGTTCAGACCATTTTTGAAGCCACTAGCTGCAGCGGCACTTTTTGCAGCAGCACTGTGACATCATATTTGTCACGCTATTTTTCCCTGAGCGAGCAACACGCCCCCATTCCATGCAAAAGAGCAACTGCTGATAACAGTGCTAGCACAGTTCCCGAGGAGGCAACTATGTGCCGCCACCACCCAGTATTTGAAAGACGCTTAGGCGGGGTGAGGCGTTCTGGTGTTGAGATGCCACGAAACCTGCTCTACTGTTATCTTCTTGAACCCAGCCACGTACAGCTTTGATGTTTAAAATATGACTCCATGGAGTCGGCTAATAGAACTCGTGTAAAAGTGAAACGCATAAAATACCACCGCACGTGACTCTGACTGAATTTTAAACCAGTCAGTGAAATTTGTTGCAGAATGCATGCCAGCACATGCAACGATGATTTAGAATTTTGTTAAAGTGGCCGTCATAAAACGCCACCAGTCCAAACAATTCACTCGTGCTAGCTAATACTATTGTAGACACCTTGCCTTGAAAATAAATGTCTCGTTCCCCTCAAGTGTCATTACAAGCTACTTCCTTTATTCATCATCATTATCATTGTACCAAGATGTTTGCGTCCGATGCCTCTCTCAGTTACCTCCAGTACACCCTGCCCTGTGCACGTTGATTCTTCTTGTTTTTCACAAATTTCTTATTTTTATCACTCTACCAAATTCACTGTCATTCTTACTGCATTGCCTTGGTTATTTTTTTCAGAAAAGAACGTCCTGTTCGGGACTTTTTCGTTCGTATAAAACTCTCCCCATTATTGTGGATAAATACAGATAGCGAGACATTTGGAAACACACATAATAATTTACAACCTAGAGAACTTGATGGAAGACTTGTACGCGTGCGCGTGATTTACGGATATCTTCATTTTGCCACGCTGCTTAAATTCCTACCAGAGTGAGTCCTGCCTTGGCCGCGGCGAACTGGCACACGATGTACCGGTGGCAAGTGGGGGAAAGAATGGCAACTCGTGAGCCCGACTCCACTTCCAACGAGAGCAGACCTTGAGCCACGCGCTCAACCTGGGTAGAAGAGTTGAGATGCCCTACTGTCGGTTGCGAACTGGCAGAACAAATAAACACTTATTGCATTCAGACGCTTGCATTATTACAAAAATTACGACTACTGGTGCCAAGACTGAAAGAAGTGTGGAGCTGTTCTTTTTTTTTTGCTTCCGGTTTCTTAGTTTAATTGTTGATTTCTGATCTCATGCATACTTCTTTTTTCTTTGACTCTTATCATTCTCGCTTGCTTCCTCTCTTACATTTTCATGCGTGAGTTTGCCTGTGTTACACCAAGTGACGACAGCTTGGCCGTCTTTTATGCTTAGCACTTAAAAGTTGGTCACTCTGGCAAGAAACACTTTGAGACGAAAATTGAATCCCAAATCATAACAGTTGTTTTCATTAGGAAAATTGCTTGCTCCCACAACATGGGATAAAATAAACGAGGCACACTAGAATTATTCACATCCAGTAAAACATGTCCAGTTTGTTCCGATTTCAGCACCACTCGTTCGTTATTTTAATTGGCCCCCGTTCACCTCGGCACCTCCTTTGCTAACCTGGTTTTGCTTTTCGGTGGACAGCGTCACAACCATGGCACAAGGAAATGTAGCTTTATGCATGTAAACTGAGCTATCCTCGAATGCCTACTGGAAGTGCACTTTCCTTAGTGTAGAGTAGAGTACATTGGCACACACCAACGCTGGGCATTCATCAAGAATCAGGCATTTTTAAATATAAAGTTTTAATTATTTGAATAGATAACGTCTGTTTATTGATTAACTGGTTTCCAGCAAAATTGAAAACACTGAAAAAGTAATAATAAAAACACCGACAGTAACGGTGAGGTGGGTAATTCAGGGAAAGATCGTCAGGAGTTTAAAAAACGCAAAATAGGAAAACAGGAGTATCAGTTGGTTCTACGATATAAACTTTTTTCAACTTTTGATTAACTCCTCCGAGGCATTGATAACCTTCCCATCACTGTGGCTAAGGCGCAAAGCCCCGAATGAAAGCACATTTGATGCATTTGGACCTAGTCTAAGGACTCGGCACATGGCTCCTAAAGTAGTTTTTCACAAAGTCGAGTATCTGTTGCAGGAAATGACATAAGGTGCTCTTGTCTCATGTACTCTGCAAAAACAACAGTTAGGAGCAGCTGCCAAACTAGCTCTGTGTAAACTAAAATTAAGATATTGAGTCTGACAACGTAGCTTATTCATAGCAACTTGTTTGAGGTCTCTTGTTTGACATATTCTACTGTTCCAACGATGTGTGATGTGGTGAAATTATAATGCAGTCGTTAATAATAAAGCAGAAATTGATTCTAGCTTCTTTTTTGTTCTTATTCCAGCACCAATATAAATGGGTATGACAAAACATCAGTAACCAAACCATTCAGATATGTCTTTGCTAGCACATTCTCTATTTCAACCACCAATCAACCCTCCTGTCCAGCAAGCCAAACAAACTTGATTAAATTTATACGAAGACGAATAATGTATTTCAATGCACTGAGAATATGTGAGTTCTCGTTTACCTAAAGGCAAGTATGCGCCGATAAGAAATGCGTCATTGTTACTGCAGGACATATTAATACTGTTAATTTCCAGAGCAATGAAGTGATCGCCAAATGTTCTTCTACAAAAGTGGGCACAAAATCTGGAAGGCGAAGGGAAAAAGACCAATCTAGAGTAAGAGTGAAAATACTAATTCCAAATTTTTGCTCACCTCAGAAAGCATCAGTCACCATGGCTTTCTTAGTTGGCGTATGTGCCCAATAAACGTTCAAAATACAGTTTGAAAATTTTTATGACATTAGTTTAGCATCTTTTGAAAAGACGCCCACCACTTTGCGACAAGTTTTTCTCCTTCCCCAATGGCTCAGCACTCACTACGCATTCGTAAGGCACCACGGGCTCTGACACATTTTGCCAATGCCGGTCTGCTGATGCTGATCAATTAGACGTAGATGTATAGGTACATCCTAAATTTTTTGGCTCACACCTACCCTTCGAGAGTGGCCAAGAATCGGGTAGCTTAAAAAAGAGAATATATATAGCGAATCCTAGATGGGAGAATAATTTCTCTTTCACCACAGCACAAATGTTGATTTGTTTGTAAATTATTTTTGAGAAAAAAGTAGATAAATCATAAGCCAAGGTGAATCAGTAAGTAATATTTTCCAATCACAACGCATTCTCTCGGTTCCGATGTTGCGTGACTACAAAATTGCTGTTTCAGTAAATAACATAATTAATAGAAATTCACCTTTGCCTGCTGATCTTTTTTCAATTCCTAAACGCAATACGCGACATGCTTCGAATGGTAATTTCAATCTGCCCAAATGTTTTAATGTTTACGGAGAAAGACTGATACAGTTTAGTGGAACAAAAATATGAAACACGGTCCCCCTAGAGATTAAAACGGCACGTAATTTCAGCATGGCATGTAAATCATTTTTTCTGTGGAGTCAAGACATGTAAGCATGTGTGTGTGATTCGATTTTCATTGTATTTTTTTAATAAGTGCCTATGTATAGAAACTAGCTGCAAGCTAATAAGTATGCATATCTGCAAGAAAAAATGTATTACTGTGTTGTTGTTGTTACCTCAGAGCTGACCTGTACACTTTTTTATGTTGCACATTGTATTGGACCGTCCACTAGCCACTTTAGGCTATCGGTCCAAATAATCCCTGTAATTGCATATATCTATTTATGAAAATAAAGCTTCATTGATTGATTGATTGATTGATTGAAATAAGTTCCTACCCAACTAGCAATAAATGATATGAAAGGAAATTTTCCTGTTGGCAACATTGGTTATCTGAGAGTCTTCGGTACTTAGGGGTTTGAGCAAATCTATTCAACTGTTGGGCAAAGTCTTGCGTGGCCAAGCAAACTTTCCAGTTGCTGTTCCCAAGGGTATTGTGCCCCCAGGCTTAGTAAATTTGGTGTCGTAAATGTAATCCAAGAATTCGTAACGGTGTTTCTACAGATATTGTTTTTACGTTGAAAACTTCCGACAAGATTTAAATTATATCTGAGCACTCTGTAATGGATGGACCGTCATATCTGCCATTAGTTGCTCAATGCAGGTGTTAACGAGATGCCATTTCCCCGAAATTTCGTGGTCGCAGTCATCGTTTGTTAGCGACAAATCAAAGAGGATGAAAATAAGATGTATATAAAAATGTGCAGTTTGCGTGCAATTTAGCCCAAACGCGCTTCATGATAACCAGGTGTTCAACCACAGAGGTACCTCATAGCTTGAAACTGTTTCGGCAAAAACGTTATATGAATGTCCTGAAGTGTGAGGACTAACACAAAAGCACGTAATGTTGCGAGGCAAAAGAGTAAAATTACGCCAGGTGCAGAACTAGTAAATAGATGTTTTAGAGGCCCCACTACTAGAAAGCGCTCAGACAAACTTAAGCATCATTACCTGCAAAAGCGTCAAAAAAGTGAGCAGCTGCATAGGTCTACATGTTTCTTTACGGACGCATACTGGGTCCTTCGCTGATTCGCAAAACAAATGGTGGTGTAGTGGGCACCTAACCAGTGTACTTATAGTAGACATTATAAAATAGCTGAAAACTGTCCAACACACACACGTGTGTGTTCTCTTGCGACATATGGAACGCATACACAAAAAATGAAAGCTTGGCTAGCGATTGAGAAGGCGCGGGACAAGATTATGCGATTGTGTACTGCTTTTGACATCGGAAACGAAGCGTGTTCCGAGGTTATTTCATGCATGGTCTAACTGAACACTTCGGCCATGCAATTTTATACTAACGTGGCTATATTGTGACGGGGTCGTGACGTGAACGAAAGGAGCAGACTGTTCGCCAAATAAGAAATGTTCATTCGGGCCTAACTTGTGGCCCCGTAAAAGGAACGTCATATTACAGATAGCGGCGAACGCAGTGTCCACCCTTCGATCAACTGAGAAGCAGCGAAATGTGTCGGCATTTATACACTTGCCATCGAACATTCTAGTGTTATCGCAGGATGGTGACATAGGTTTAAGAATAATCACAAAGTTTCACGAAGAGGGCGCAACCTTGACAAAACGATCTACTACAGCCTCGAAGACTCTCTGACACCCTATAGGTGTAGTTTGCGCTGAACATGATGTAACAGGGCAATAACAACATTTGAAGAAAGGAACATAGCATTGCCGCTCTCTGAAAAAGGCATCGTCGCGATGCTTTAACAGATGATGAGTGTACAAAAACTAATGCAAGAAAGAACAAGCAATAAATAACGGTGCAGCATCAAGAACAACAACAAAATACACTATTTAAGTTTGTTAACGCGCACGAAACCGCTTGAAGCGCATGACATGGACAACTTCAGGTCGCGATCGGCGTCGTTAAAAGTTATTAACGCTGTCGGGAACAACCTCGTAGTCGAGTGGACCAAGCCTTGGAGTTACCCTGTATGGTCCAAAATACCGTCGCAATAGTTTTTCACTGAGTCCACGTTGGCGTTTAGGCGTCCAAGCCCGAACACGTTAACCGTGCTGGTATTCAACGAAGTGTCGTTGAAGATTTTAACAGCAGCAAACCGTCGTCTGTTGGTTCTTTATACGGAGGTGGGCGAGTTCTCGAGCTTCTTCCGCGCGCTGAAGACACTCGCTCCCATCGAAGTTTTCTTCATCGGTGACGTTGGGTAACAAGGCTTCGAGCGTCGTTGCCGGGGTCCTTCCGTACACCAACTTGTACGGCGTCATCTGCGTCGTTTCTTTTACGGCGGTGTTGTATGCGAACGTCACGAATGGAAGAATGGCATCTCACGTTTTGTGTTTCACGTCGACGTACATGGCCAGCATGTCGGCGATAGTTTTGTTTAGGCGCTCGGTGAAGTCATTAGTGTGTGGGTGGTAGTAACCACCATGCCTCTGTCGGTGATGAGGACCTCCAGAGGGCCGTGACGCAGGACGCTCTATTTGATGAAGAATTTGGTTAATTCAGATGCACTACCTTTGAGAAAGGCTTTTGTCTCGGCGTAG